GAGATAAAACAGGCACTTAATAAAATACAGACGATGTCGAAGACAGATCCTAGTTGTTCCAGTGGCAATGAACTGACTGTTGCACATTTGGAAAAAAGATGCAGGGAGAGTGGAAGGCAATAGTCACCCGTGTTTGAAACCTGGGTACCATCCTACCATTGCCGTCCCACCAACCCCTACTGTCCTAGTCCACCTAGCTGACATCTCTCATACCCCACCATTCCCACATATTTTACAAAGCTTTATATTATATATTAATGAAGTAACATGCTTTGGAGAACAGAAATATAATTCGTTCAAATTGCATAATATAAAATACTTAATGCTACAGAATGGGCAGACAACTCAAAACGCTTATTCCTATAGCACTTATTTGGAACAGTTTAGATACACTACTTAAATCTGTATACTTACACACATATGCACACACACATGCACACATCATTGGATTTCTCAGCTTCTTAGCAATAAGGTCTACCTTTGTTGATGCCTGCTATGTTTATAGCACCTTGCTGGGCCCTGGGAGGTGCCAGGAGCAGCTGGGCCTTGGCCCATGCTCAATACCTTCTATAAAATGTCCAGATGAATGGTCATCCTCACAGTTTCAGTGGAACTGTGCATCTGTGTGCCTATTCATGATTGTAAAATGTGTAGACAATGTAGTAAAACAGCCCTGGTGGTATGGAAGAAAACTGTTTTGGGCATCTGAATGTCAGATCCAGGTGGCCTGACTGGTGAAAGGCAGTTTTTGTAACCAAGCAAGGTAATACTGGAGTTTCAGGTGATCTAGTTAGGGAAATTATAATTTTGTAATCCCTCATTCAGGATTACCAAATTACACTAATCTGGCAGGACCTTGCTTGGATGGGGAGAAAATCATCTCTAGTATAAGCAGAAAGCATCTCCCATGAGACATTTCTGATATTTCCCATTATGCTCTGCTGAGAACCTATCTTCTGCACTCACCATCATAAATGGTAACTTGTACAGGGTTTATGAGTTGAAGAGCTCATTTCTGTCAAGGTTCCAACAGAGCCCTCTGCAGGACCATTTCCAGGGGATTCAAGGGTGAGGAAGTGAGTCCTGAAGTGATGAGAGAACAGCTCCGTGGCCACACTACATCTACCTGTGTGCTGGATTATTCAGGCTCTCATTCATTCACTCAACAAATACCTGCTGAGGTGTTGCTAGAGGCCACATCCAGTGTAGGTATTGGATACACAGCAGTGAACAAATAAGATAATCTCTTATCTTGCAGAGCTAACATCTGGTACGAAGGTGGTCATAAAATAAAAAATTACAATAAGCTGTAATGAACATTCTGAATGGGAAAATGCAGTGTCCTCTGGGAAGGCATGTCAGGGTCTAACACATAATACACAAGGTGTAATGCTGTATTCATCCTCTCATGGAACTCTAAATTTCACATGTTATAATACATATAAATCAAACCTAGGGGAAAAGAAAAGGGTACCATCAAAATGGGAGCTGATTTTGGTGAGTCAATCTACCCGTATGCCATATGGTGGGCATGAGGGCATACTGAATGAACAAGAAATTATTTTTCCTTTTTCTTAAACTGTTAAAAATTATCTTAATTAACACACAACTCCTTCTTGGGGGGAACTGTGGTTTCATTTTTCAAAATATCAGATGTTATTTATAAATCAAACCAAACAAAATAAGCTAGTTAGGGCTCCAAAAAGTACAGCCCACAGAAGGCCTTGCATTTTTTTCTCTCTTGGTGTATGAAGAAAACCTTAATGCCAGGCGCATTTCAAAGCCCAACTCTGGCTCTGGCTGCGAATTTAGCTTTGTTACTTAACACACATTTCCTTCTGGCCTCTCATGTAGATTGGCTTTAAACTTCATAAAGTTAAAAATCATTGCATAATTCATTCTCTTTAGAAACATTCCAGTTCTTTTTTTACTCTGTCAAATTCGGCCGCAAGAACAGAAAATTCAGTGACAAGCACAGGAATACTGAAACACCAAACGCCCTGCTACGGGGTGAAGAGTGTGCCGCCTTCCGCATGTGCATCCAAATAGAGTGTTCATTGCTGGAAGTGTACCCCGACCATAAAATGTCAACAGAGATTTTTTTCCCCTCATGGTTCAGGCACAAACAACAAAGCAGACTTAGTCTTCTGAAGTTCGCAAAATGGCAGAATGTTTATCTTTGGAGTGAGGGAGGGATGGAGTCACAGAGTAAACAAAGAATTTTCAGAGGACATTTCCTTACTTCAGTTTAAATTATGGATGTCACAGAGTGGTATAATAGACACTGGAGACAGAATGGGGGAGGGAGGAGGATGAGGGATAAAAAACTATATATCAGGTACAAGGTACACCACCCAAGTGACATGTTCACTAAAATCTCACACTTTACCACTACACAATTTGTCCATGCAACCAACAGCCACTTGTACCCCTAAAGCTATTAAATTTTTTTTTAAAAATAAAATGTTAATGACAAAGACAAATCTTTTTTCTTACTTTGATCAAGGTTTTTCAATCTTGGCACTATTCGCATGTTAGACAAAATAATTCCTTTTTTCGGGGGGACTGTCCTGCTCATTGTAGGATATTTAGCATCGTCCTTGGCTTCTACCTAATAGATGGCAGTGGCAATACCCCCATTCCCCCAGCTCCTCCTTCCCAATGCCAGTTGTGACAAGTGAAGATGTCTCCAGGCATTGCTAAATGTCCCCTGAGGACAAAATTGCCCCCACCTGAGAACTACTGTTTCGTTCATTTCTATCCCACATGCCTTGTAGACATAACTCAGAACTTCTACCAACAAGCTTGTCCAACCCTGTGGCCCATGGGGCACATGTGGCCCAGGACAGTTTTGAATGTGGCCCAACACAAATTCATAAACTTTCTCAAAACATTATGAGATTGTTTTGCAATTTTTTTTTTTTAAGCTCATCAGCTATGGGTCGTGTTAGTGTATTTTATGTGTGGCCTGAGACAATTCTTCTTCAGATACGGTTCAGGGAAGCTAAAAGATTGGAAGCCCCTGCTCTACAACATTGTTCCAATTCCAAAAGGTTGAGAGCTAGAATCTAGGACTTCCAGAGAAGAACTAGGATGAGCCACTGATCCTTCGCTTTGCTTCAGAGACTGTGGATTGCAGGTCACAACAAGTAGCTGGGCTACAACCTCGATCTTTATTTTTGACCCTAAGAAAATGCATCAAGTTATTTTATTTCATAAAACATCTACCACTATTAGCAGGTTATAAACCAAATCACTTTCTGGCTCAACTTGCCAAATTTCTGGCAAACAGCTATTCTGAGAGATTTTTTAGTCAACAGATTTTGCTAGAGCTCCTAAATACTCAAGGTGGAAAATCTTTCCAATTCCTCATTGGTTTATGGTCATGTCACGGGTTCTCTTCTGGCCTTTATTGATGGCCACTAGAAATAAGTCACTGATATTCATCAGATATGCCCTTAGCACCGAATTCTAGGAAATACTGTACCAGTGATATTCATAAAAAATATGTAAATATTAGTTATAATTAATTTAGCTAATTCGCTTGAACAAATAATCTGTTCATTATTTATATTTTCTTCTCCCTTCTAAACTTTCTCCCCTGGCCAAGTCTTATAACTGTCATCTCTAACGAGAGGCCTCACAAATCTCTTTCTAGAGTCGTTTTCCCCAGGTTGTACCTTAATTTCAGTTTCTAAACATCACAAATAAATATTGACATATTAGACCAAATAATTCTTTTGTGCAATTCCATGAAAATCACATCAACCTCAATAAGGCTCTAATATGGTAAACGGCTAAACATTTCTTGTTCTAAAATTCTTAATTACCCTTGTAGATATCCCCATCAAGAAATAGAATCTATTTCTTTATCTTTTAAATATGAGGTATGGAGTGACCATTAGCTTGAAATGACCAATGGGACATCAGCAAGCAAACAAACAAACCCCCAAAACACTTGGGCCTCTGAGTTCCTCAATTTTCCCTGCCACTGCCACCACGCAGATAACCTGCCACACTAGAAAATGAAAGACCTGATGCAGCAATTGTAAGTCTGCCAGCCCCAGTGAAGCCACCAACTGACCAAAGATGTATGAGCAAGCACTGCTGGGATCAGCAAAAGAACAGGACAGCTGAGCCCAGCCTGAACTGCCTACCGCATTTTGGGGTGGTTTCCGATACATGAGGCATAGTCCCAACCATATTTATTTTAGAATATGAACTTGCTTTACTATTTCAAATGACTTCTAGAAGATTCAGCTGTGTTTATATGGCAAGGCAATTTAGTTGGTCAAGATGAGATCTACTAATTCCAACCCTTATGAAGAACAAACTGGATTGGTCAGTAACGTGTTGATTACTGCTGGATGATAGATAACATGTGATTAAGACAGGAAAAAGAAAAGGAAATTACTGTGGAAGGGCTGAGTTGATGCCCTTCCAGCAAGTATATTAGACATGAAGACAAGCAAGTGTATTAAAACCTGTACCCAAAGGTTGAATGGAAAAGAGTTATTTTTTTCGTTCCATTGTACAAGTAGTTCATGTTTTAGAAATAGACTCTAGCCTAAAATTTCAGTAGAATGCAGGATGCATTTTCTCATAGAAATAAAGATATAAATTACAGATAGTTGCTCAGGGCAGCCTACAGATTTCTCCTTAATCCAGAACATACATGAAATATTCTGTATTGACAATAAAAAAATGGAAATAATAGAAAAATAAAAATAAAAAATACAATTCTTAATTATGCTAACAATAAAACTGTACTTAAAGGAATATATATGTACACACACACACACATATATAGCCATGTAGAAAATGCTTATGATTTAAAGTATAAAGCAAGAAACAGGTTGGCGGTGGCAGCTCACACCTATAATCCTAGCACTTCAGGAGGCCAAAGCAGATAGATTGTTTGAACACAGGAGTTCGAGACCAGCCTGGGAAACATGGCAAAACCCTGTCTCTACAAAAAAATACAAAAATTAGTTGAGCATAGTGGCGCACCCAGGAGGCTGTGGTGGGAGGATAACCTGAGACCTGAAGGTCAAGGCTGCAGTGAGCTGTCATTGTATCACTGCACTCCAGCCTGGGTGACAGTGAAACCCTGCAGAAAAAAAGAAAAGAAAAGGAAAAGAGAAGAGAAAAGAAAAAAAATCCTATACACACAATGAATATAACTATAAACACCTAAGTAGATACGATGAGAAATCAGTATACAAAAATCAATCAACATGATGGGATTTACAATTAACTTTTTCTCTTTTGGAATGCCCATAATGTTAAACTACTAGCATTTCTTTAAATTTGTCTTTTAAAATATTATACACACACGCGCGCACACACACGTCAAAATTTAAATATAAATATCGAGACCTGTACAATATGAACTCAGTCTCTCTCTTAAATTAGCCCCGTAAGATCATCACTCAACCAGGAACTCTGGCTGTGAGTCCTGCCGGCAGCTTGGGCTTTCCCTTTCCCACCTACTCACTGCGCATGTCACTGCCAGTTACCAGCTGCTCCTCATTCTCTCTGCAAATCAGGTCAGTGCACTCAGCCACACCTTCTGCATTCGGCCCAGGTGGCCCCTTCCTACTGCCACCTACCTGGATTAAGTCCTGGTACCTCTGGCTCAGCCTCTTCCAGTAAGATATTTCACGATGAAATGACTTGGTTCTGCTGATTCCCGAATCATCCTGCAAACACATACTTCCTCTCCTCACCTTCCATGTTTAACGTCCAGCTCTGGCTGGATCACTTGCCTGCTTACAGAGAACAGGCCCTCCAGAACCTCTTCAACCTCCCTTTCAGGCTCATTGTCCACTATCCCTCACTAATCCCAGTTTCCATCTCCAGGACTTTTTTTCTCTACCAAGAATGCCCTCTCTCCCAACATAATTATCTGAATCCCACCTACCTTTCAAAGTCCAACTCATATAGTATCCCCTCCTTGAAAGGATGTTCTGCCCTGCTAAACATGCTTCTTCCTCCTGAATACGCCTCCTGAACTTTTCTTCTGATTAAACATACACAGCTACCTTGAATTGTGGTAATTGGCTGCCTCTTTATTGCTTTCCTACTAAATTATAAACCCTTGCCTTTGAATGTTTTGTTTTTAATCCTATATAGTTTTATGCAGTGTTGGTAACAAAAATATATTTGCTTAATAAGCCAATAAAAAATAAGGTCTAAAAAAGCAACAAATTTAAAAGTTCAATGACTTATTTTTTCAAGTATAACCTGTAACAAGCATAGTTTGACTTAATCTCACAGCTGGGTTTTTAAGAAGTCAAATTTCATTGGTACGCTCCAGATAACACCCCCACTCCTTCCTCTTCTCTTTCCCTCTCAGACTCTCTGCAGAGTGAGAGCCTCATCTCAACTTGTCTCTGCCCGTATAAACACAGAACTTTTGACAGCTTTATTGTTAATACTTATAGACCTGACCACGCAAGGCCCTCAAGATAGGGTTGTTAAAGGGCTAGAGCCAACTTGATTCTCTACATCTGAAACACTTAATCACAGAGCTCTTCTGGAATAATCAAATCATATGAACTCTACCCAGCCGGATGGAACAGAAACATTGGCTCAGCTAAAGAGTGGGTGTTTTTCTTAGACTGTGGAATCATGGCTGAGGGTCAGGACCTGAAATATATCGAGGTGGATAATTGATGTATAATAATTTACAAAATTATTCTTTCAGGCTACAGAGCTACAATTCACAGTAGTAAATATGAGGACCTTCTTAAGGAATCAGAAATATGAGGATATGCACAATATTATTCACATTTTACAGATCAGAGAATTGAGGCACAGATAAACTTTCCAAGGCTACCAGGCATTCTAGCTCCAGAAGCTGCACTCTTACCATTCTGCTACAAGATATTTTGAAAAAAAGAAAAAGTGAAAAGAAGTCAAAAGGCAACAGAGTTCATTGATTATTCCATTGAACAGTCACACCATGCCATTCTCACACCCTTGCAGACACATTTGACCATGAAAGGTTCCTCAATGAAAGGTTCCTCATTATCTTCAGAATCCATATTTCTCACATTGACCTTGCAGTTAACTCAAACCCCTAGGTCTGGAATGCTGTCTTCTCTACCTATCAAAAACTATACATCCACAAACCATATAAACTCTCAGCCCTGCTGCAAAGCCTTTCCAGAAAAATATAAATGTTTGAAAAGGATATTCTGCTACCAATGACTGTTTAAGCCCAGCCAAGTAACTGAACCATTCCAACTTCAATTTACTTATGAAAAGAATTTGATGATGTAGGAGGTTATTTCAATTCTAAAATACAAACTCATGTTGATCTTTCTCATTCTTGAACTCACAGATTATCTATTATCTCAATTTAGTCTGTTGTTTATCCTTGTGGGCCATTAAAACTACCACATGTGTTTCTGTCTCTCCATTAGTCAATAACTAAACTAACGAGCAATTAGTGAGCCATGTGCCAGATGCTCTGCTAGGTACCAGAGGGATAAGTATATCACCAATTTTCACTTAGTAACTAGTGAAATTTTCAAGTCACGCCTGAGTCAAGAGTTTAGGAGACATTACAATGTGTAATGGAAACCAAGGAAAGTGAAACTGTGGATAAGGGGGGACTAGTGTATTTATGTATTTAATTGATTTCTGACGCTATCAGTAGCCTCCAAACACAGAATGTGTTTTTCTTTGGTTTTGTTTTCTTCACCACAGGATCTTCTGTGCCCAGTACAGCACCTGACAGATAGAATACAATCAAATATTTGCTGAATAAATGATTAAAAAATCAGAGAACCTTCCCACTGTTTGGAACTATAGAACATCCAAAGTGATGAGGGCCTCTGCATTTATACTTGCTTAAATAAGATTATGTGAGAAAAGTTTAAAGACACTTAGTATAGTGATTATCAAATATAGTTAACACTTGGAAATGGTGGTGCTTTAAAAAGATATTAATAGATAATATGAAAATCTCCATCTCAAAAATAATGCATAAACTATTTAAAGGAAAATCACATCTCTAGGCTTTCAATGTTTGTTCATTACTTTTTCATATATTTTTACCATCTGCCAAAGGCAGTCATATCAAAGGGTAAAGAAAGATGGGAGGAAAACTTAGTAAGAATTATATTAATCTGTTTGCAAAGTAGAAAAAGATTCCCATCACTCAACCTTATGAGCAGGAAGAGGGAAGGCTGTTTGAGAACCATTTACTTAACAGAATCACATATTTTGAACACTTCCCTGAATTCACTGCACAAACAACATGTTTGCAGACTTCTTAGATCAACCTCCAACAACGACCCATTCAGGAGTTAAACATTTTTCATCAAACATTGGATTTTTCCTTAACTCCAGAGATTGCTACAAATCTTCTGAAGTGTCTCAATGGCTTCAGGCTAAGAAGAGATTTCTCCCTGTTATAAGAAGCAAGACAAATTAGCCATTTCACTCTCAAACTGCACTAATGATCACATTCTTTCCAAAAGGAACTCTAGAAGACCAAATGCCCCGAGTTAAGAACATCAAAACTAACCAGCTGAAGAAACTTTCCAAGTGTAAGACTCTGCCATTAAAACATTACTGAGAGGGGACTCAAACATAGCCTTTATTCCTTTGTCATGTTTCTAGCTCCCAAACCAAGCAATGATGGCAGTACTGATACATAATTTAAAAGCACACTCCCTTCTACTTTGTAATACCAGAACTCTAATTGGACACCCTGAAGCTTAGGACTACTAGCCATACAAATAGTAAACTCTTTGTCCACGATTCACTCACCTGTGTATTTTCTGTAGATGTTTACTAGGCTTTTATTATATAAAAATACCCCAGTCAGGTGCGGTGGCTCACGCCTGTAATCCCAACACTTTGAGAAGTGGGTGGATCACCTGAGGTCGGGAGTTTGAGACCAGCCTGACCAGCATGGTGGAACCCCATCTCTACTGAAAATACAAAAAATTAGCTGGGCGTGGTAGTGCATGCCTGTAATCCCAGCTACTCGGGAGGCTGAGGCAGGAGAATTACTTGAACCCGGAAGGCGGAGGTTGCAGTGAGCTGAGATTGCACCATTGCACTCCAGCCTGGGCAACAAGAACAAAACTCTGCCTCAAAAAAAAAAAAAAAAAAAAAAAAAAAAAAAACACCAATGGTAAATTACACTCTCCTTCCTTTTTCCCAACTCTCTCTCTCCCCCTCTCTTTCTCACACACACACAAACACACACACACACACCCCACCAGACCGATTAGCTAACTTTGTGGAAAAGACACCTAGATGCCGTCTTCATATGTGAATTTAGCTCACAGGACTAGTGAGGGAATATCATTATCATGGGAGGACACAGAAAACATACAGGACTCTGAGCCACTCCTAGTTTTACCCCTCCTTAGCCTGTGACTTGCCTTTTCTGATCCATCATCTATACAAGAAGAATAGCAGTGACTAGCACCCACAGGTCTCTCAGGATAGACTTAGCAGGCAAGGTAACCCACCACTTCAGAGCACAGGTTTAACCTCAGGCTAAATACTGCTCTGGTCATTTCATTAGCCGTGTGACCTCAGTATCAATGTGTCTGATGCATAAAAAATGTTACATGATCAGCCCCTGTCATTTCTCCTTTAAAAATTATAAACCACTCTACCAATATTCACTTCTATTATCTAAAAATGCACATAAAAAGATACCCAGTAATAGAATATTCATCAAATGGTCTCTCAGGGCCCAGCATCATCTCCTTCCTTATCGCCAAAGCCAGCCTGCCCTCCCCAGATAGGATACTCACATCTCCCACATGCTTACAGAGGCAGACGGCCAGCCATAATTCCTCCACTCAGCAGCCTTTGAAGACTCAGCCAGCTGTATCAGTTAATAACCTCACTAAAGGTTATCCATCAGAAAGAAGGGAAACAAGTTCTAACTACTGTAGTGAGAGAAGTCATTAAACCCATACATGGCTCCTATACAGTCTGCCTGGCATTCATGGAAATAGCACACACCATAGGAAAATGTTACCAAAGCACACAAGTATTTAATCTAAATATTAAATTACCTTTATTAAATAGCCTACCAATCAATTTCAAAGGTAATCTATCTTCAGAGAATCTTTCTGATTCTCTACAGTTCTAACCATTTATTTGCTCAAGCTGTAAAATTTTTCTTTGGGTTCCATAGCCATTTCAATAAATCAAACTTGCATTTTCTCCCCTTCCTGTTAAACAGTAAAACCATGTAGAATAGTTCCTAGACTAAGTGATTTAACCTCACTCCTATTTGTCAGAAGCAGGCTGCACTGATTTTTTTTTTTAACACTCTGATTGAAAGTCTTCTTTCTAAATGAGAATACTATCCTTGGAATGTTGGATTTCATTATTGGCTAGTTTCTGTTTAATCTTGGAGAAATCTCTACAAAAGGAAACTATATTATTTTCTTTCCAGGAATTTAATACAATTGTTCCATACTCTTAAGAGTTTGACATGGTTCAATTTCTCATGTTTATAAGCACTAACAGATACTAATATGTGAATAAAATGCATGATGCAACTTCTAAAAAATAACACTCAGGATATGTTATAACAATGTGCTACGCTGTGGCTGGACAGACAAATTTTTATTTGTCCAACACTGCATGGTGTGGCCTTATCCCTCCTGAATGGTATATCCAGACCAACATTTGAAGATGTCCACTATATCTTGTTTTAAAATGTTTTCTGTGCGTACAAAATACTTACATAAAATGACTGGAAGATTTTTATAGGAAATTTCTTAAATAATTTATCATCAGAATGAGTCATGTAGAAGCACCAAGACTAAATTAACATCCCCTTCAGATGTAATGGAAATCCCATCTTTTCTCTGGGGACTCATCTAATTCTCTCTTCTATAATTTTTGGGAGAATACAGTAAAAGCACTTAATACAGTAATGGTATTAGCAAAACAAGGACTTATTTAAGAGGCTTTACTTGGGTCATTGCAAGTATTATAGAATTACAAGATAAAGGGTGTGGGCTTCTGGAGATTACTAAAAAGTTGATATAGAAATTCCTCATTCAGAGAGAAGGGGGATAAAACTTATTATTCTAAGCCAGAAAGTCTACACTGTGAACTAAGCTCTATATCGAAATAAGTATTTTAAATCTCAGAAATGGGAAATGATCACAGAGCCCTCACTTGTGACCTATCAAAGTCAGGTTACCATCAAGTTTTATTTGATATTAATAATAACATTACCCAAAGTATAGTTATCTTGTCATTAATTTTCTAGCAGCTTGACCAAAATGTTTATCAAAAAGTATACTACAAAAAATTAACTTCAGGCTAGGTTTGTTGTGAACTGAAATATTTTTCCCCAATCCTAATATTTAAATAGTTAAAAATAATGGTATGTTTCCTATCATCTCCCCATCACCCCTCCTTTCTAAGCACCCCAGTCTCCAGCAATCATCATCTTACTCTCTACTTCCGTGAGATCAACTTTTTTCGATTCCACATGTGAGTGTAATCATGGTATTTGTCTTTCTGTCCCTGGTTTATTTAACATAATATCTTGTGGGTTCATCCACAGTTATAGTTAAGTTGGAGGAGTAAATTTCAGGAGCTCTATTGTATAGCAGGATGATTATATTTAGTGACAATATTTTTTTTTTATTTTGAGACAGGGTCTTACTCTGCCGGCTACAGAGCAGTGGTACAATCTCGGCTCACTGCAACATTTACCTCCTAGGCTCAAGCAATTCTCCAGCCTCAGCAACCCAAGCAGCTGGCATTATAGGCACACACCACCATGCCCTGCTAATTTTTGTATTTTTTTTAAATTATACTTTAAGTTCTAGGGTACATGTGCACAACGTGAAGGTTTCTTACATAGGTATACATGTGCCATGTTGGTTTGCTGCACCCATCAACTCGTCATTTACATTAGGTATTTCTCCTAATGCTATCCCTCCCCACAACAGGCCCTGATGTGTGATGTTCCCTGCCCTGTGTCCAAGTGTTCTCATTGTTCAATTCCCACCTATGAGTGAGAATATGCCGTATTTGGTTTTCTGTCCTTGTGATAGTTTGCTGAGAATGATGGTTTTCAGCTTTATCCATGTCCCTGGAAAGGACATGAACTCATCCTTTTTTATGGCTGCATAGTATTCCATGGTATATATGTGCCACATTTTCCTAATCCAGTCTATCATTGATGGGCATTTGGGTTGGTTCCAAGTCTTTGCTATTGTGAATAGTGCCACAATAAACATACGTGTGCATGTGTCCTTATAGTACCATGATTTATAATCCTTTGGGTATATACCCAGTAATTGGATAATGGGATAGCTGGGTCAAATGGTATTTCTAGTTCTAGGTGCTTGAGGAATTGTCACACTATCTTCCACAATGGTTGAACTAATTTACACTCCTACCAACAGTGTAGAAGTGTTCCTATTTCTCTACATTAATTTTTGTATTTTTTTTGTAGAGATGTGGTTTCGCCATGTTGCCCAGGCTGGTCTCAAACTTCTGGGCTCAAGCCATCCCCCTGACTTGGCCTCCCAAAGTGCCGGGATTATAGGCATGAATCAAATGCCCAGCTGACAATATATTCTTGAAAAATGTAAACAGTGGCTATTATGTGCTGTCACCACAAAAGTGATAACTATGTGAGGTAATGCAATTGTTAATTAGCTAGATTTAAGCATTCCACAATGTATATAGACTTCAAAATCATGTTGTACATGATAAAGCATACTATGTTATCTGTCAACTAAAAAAATAGCATGTAACAAAGGCCCTTATCTGTTTAAGCATTTTGGAAATCTCATTGTAAAGACTGACAGATTTATTGTTTTTCTGACAGTGTCTGACTTTCCTCCCAGACATTAACTAAAAGCATTAAGGTTTATAATGGTGTCATTGGAGAGTTCATTAAGAGAGGCTTTCCATGATTTCTGGTAGAGTTAACCTGTGTCAACTCCTGTCTTCAGCAAGGCTAGCAGAAGGCATTGTTGGGCTGGATGGAATCAGAAAGCAAGTACAAGTTTTCAAAACAGGTGCTACTGTTGACATAATATGCATTAAACATTCTGCTTGTGCATAGCTCCTAGAAGAATGGGTACTTCCTCATTTTAATTTTTAATACAAGTTTCTGTATTCCACAAAAAACCATTCCTGGGAGAATTTCCAGAATAATATGTAATCTGACTTGCATATCTTAGTATGACACCAAAGCTGACTCTCCAGTATTTGGAGACCTAATAGCAGAAAAAAGATTCACAGGTTGCACTTCGAAGTTACAAAAGCGGTTAGCATGGCAGTTGGCTTTGCCTCTGTTTCAAGAGTGGCCCAGAGGTAGTGGAGAAGTAAAACAAAGCTGGAAGGGGTCACTCTGTGGTTCCTAAGAATGCACGGCTGCCAAACTTAAAGGATAAGACAAAACTGTACATTCCAGAATCAAAGAGAGTTAAAGATGAATGAGATCCTAAAGATCAGCTAGCTCAGGCATCATCAATGTTCATTGTGTTTAAGAATCAGTTGGGATTCTAGTGAAAGCTGCACATTCCTAGTCCGATCCACTGAGATTCTGATTCAGCAGCAGGAGGCAGCCATGGTACCAGTAGTGATACATAACATTTCTAAAGCACTTGCTTCGTGCCAGATACTGTGCTATGTTCTTTATAAATATCACCTTATTTAATTCTCAAAACAATCCTATTGGGTGGGTACTACTATTGCCCCCATTTCACAGAAAATGAAATCAAGGTAGAGTGACTGAGACATCTGTCCAAGGACATTCTGCTAGGAAGTGGAAGAATAAGAGTTGAAACCCAGACAGGCTGGCTTCAGAGTTTGAACTCTTAATCATCACCCTGAACTACCCACCAACAGGGTTAGG